TCGATCCATAATTTGCTTTTTTGGTCCTTATGACTGAATCGTTTGAACCCACTGCACAGCATCGAGGATTCCTTAGCTAATCTTTCCCCCGTTTTTATTCTTTCCCGGATGCATTGTTGACTCATCGTCCCCCGCCAGAGCCAGTGGTCAATTGTCACGAAAATCCGCCTTGGCCTTATTTGTCACCCGAACACGTCAACGAGCCACGATGCCAAGTCACGACAAAAGATATTACTCTCGCTTCTCTCATACAGCGGACTGGAGGGCCATGCACCGCACCTCGACTTCTCACCCAGCTCACCTGGCCGGGGCCAATAACGGAGACAATAGCGCCCGCGCCGTTCTTACCAAATACGGTATTTCCCAAATACAGCCACAAATCCCCCGAAATGGCAATTCGCGCAATTGTCCCGCCGCGCCTGCCTGGCCCCGGCTTCTCTGCCGACTCGCCGCTGACTGTGCTCGCATTCTGGAAAGCTGGTTAGGTTCTAACCGCACCAAAATGCTAACTTGCTCTGCACTTACAAAAACGCCGTCCAGTGGCTATTGTCCGCCGCATCCCGATCGACAGCGCCCCGCCACATAGGTCCTTCCTCCAAGGCCCTCGGGCAGCGCGGGCGCCCTCTCCGCGCACGCACTGCATCTAGACCCAGGCCATCCAAGCACTTTCCAGCAGTTAAAAGGCGCCTCTCAGCATACGCCGAGATCCCCAGTCGCACTCGCACTTCACGCACGCACACCCACAAATGGACGCCTTCACCACCACCACCCCCGTCGTCGTCGATGTCCCCGCGAGCTGGGAGAAGAGCGGCAGCTCTGGAAACACCTACTGTGTTGTCGCCCAGACCGCGTCGATCCCTACCGATCAGGAGAAGGCCGGCAGCTCCGGTAACACCTACTGCGTCGTCGCCTGAGCGGCGCGTTCGTCGATTATCTGCGCTGAGTATACCGGTCCACCATATTATTGTGAGCGCGCATATTCTCTTCCACACCTGAACCGTGTCTCACGCCGTCTTCCCAGGATCCGATACCCACATTGCCTCTGGACGCGGAGGCGATACGATACCGTTGATCATCCATTACTATACATATATTCCCCAGAGTATACCAGCTTGTTAGAAAGAGGAACTTGAAGCGCCATTCACCCTTTCGATCTTCTTGTGGTCGCTTTTATCAATTTGCATAAATTATAACACTGCACACTGCATGCTACCTCCTGCCAGCGAGTCGGAATCTAGTGTGAGGCGAATCGTATAACGGGAGCAGCGAGTGCATCATGCGCGAGTGTTTTTCCAGATGCAGAACTTAAGCTGCTGAATTATTGGCACTTTGATAGTCTCTACCGTCGTGGATCTACTCGATATATGTCTCTGCCTTAGACAAGATGGAGTCGCGCAAATGGGCTTTCAATTTATCTTGTAAACAGTACGATTGCCGCTATATGTAACATAGAATTAGTAGGAGTACCATTACAGGTACCTTTTCATCGCCGTCTGGCCCCTCCCAATGATTGGGTGGGAATGACCATCGCAAGCGAAGTAATTCCGGTTTTTGTGGAGCGGTCACGATCGGATTGGAAGCGCGAAGGTATCGTGTAGAGACCATCGCACTAACCAATGACTTTTGTGCGGCTTGTTCCCGAGCTATTCAGAGTGATCTTCGGCCGAGCCTCCGTCCGTCCTCTTATTCGGCAGCAGTCAGATATACATTTCAGGGCGCCTATCTGGTGTTCTATAAATAGAGTGCTCCAGCGCAGCAACGTCGGAAGTCATATTTGAACAATAATATTCTACGTGGCCGACCTGAACGCTTCTTTGAGGCCCTTTCGAATATCTTTTCGGGAAAAATCCGTTATTGAGCCTTGTGTCCAGTGATCCTGGCTCAGACAAGGCCTGCAGATATACATGCATAGGAGCTCGCCTTACAGTCGAAAATATCTTCAACGTCTTCTAGACAAAGCATAAAGACGAGTTCCAAGGCAATTTTTTTATTGGGATTTCTGTACCAGACAATACCATTCACTCAAATTCTTATGCCGCCGGTGCCGACACTCGTGACTTACCATATTCGCGGGCAATAATAGTCTGCGAGGAATGTACAAGATGAAGAGGTTCATGATGGGCCGAACAATTAAGCGCGTCTACGTCCACAATTATTACAGGCCCAAATTCGACCCCATTTTTGTCCGGTTGCTTTGGACCAGGGCCCGGTGTCCAAGCTATAAAGGCGCGTCCGAGTCGGAGAGGCAGAAATTCCCCACTCTCAGTCCCACTGTCAGCCGTCCCAACCCACACCCAACATCATAACAATGGACTCATTCTTCACCACCTCCCCCATCGTCGTCGACACGCCCACCAACGAGGAGACCAGCGGCTCGAGTGGCAACAGCTACTGCGTCGTCGCCCAGACCGCCTCGATCCCCACCAACGAGGAGACCGTCGGCAGCAGCGGCAACACCTACTGCGTCGTCGCCTAAGGCGGCCACGCACTCAATAGATCCTTCACGCGTATTACCACTGTGAGTTTTGCTGTCGTTATTATTCCGCCCAGTCCCTCATACAATATCCCGGCTGTAGATCACCAGCAATGTCGTGTCTCCGCGCCGCTTTGCGCAGGACCCGATATATACTTGCTATTTCTACTATAATTATCACTAGTCGGGGGGGGGGGAGCGAAGGCGATATCTTCTTTTCGGTATTCTGGGGATGGTCGTTGTACAGCTAGTTGATTTAAATATTACAATTCGCGCACTCTCTAGATTGTCAGCCTGCCCGACGTCTTCGTTACGGTACCCCTACTCTACGAGCGATTCCACAGGCTATGACACCGGCGCGCGGATGCGCTTGCACCAAGAGTCAAGCTCGTATACTGTTTGGAAGCGTACCTTCCGAGATAAATTTCTTGGAGGACAGTGAGTATCTCGGCATCAGCCTTGTCTGCGGATAGTAAGATGCAGTCCGCTTCTGCCGAACGGCGGGGAAGAACAATAGGTTTATCGGATCGACCGTGATCGAGCTTTTGGCGTTGCAGCAATGATGTAATCGTCATCCTTGCTAGCAAGCGCTGGCCAAGTCTGAGCCTTCTCCTTTCTCCGTTCCTCCCTGGCAAAAAAAACTGCATAACCAGAGCGTCGGGAAGTAATATATTTTAGGGACTAGACAATTATCGCTGCTTGTTTGTAATAAAGAGTGTGAATCGTTGATCTTCATTTGTGCATTTTCGATGATCTCACCCCAGTCATCAGACCAACGTTGCGTCGATTTCGTACGGAAGCGAGATGGTCCAACATGCTCGGGATCAATAGCCATTACAACCGCAAAATATCCAACTTGACAACATCGCGAACGACCTCCTCTTGACCTCCTCCCCAGAAGTCACAGAACCATGGCCACACTTGCAGGGCTAAGCCCATCGCGCTCAGTTCTCAAGCCAGGGGGACTTACTAAAATTAACGTTCGATCACATAATCGAGGGTGATACAAAGGGTCCAGTTCGATGATGTAGGCAGGGTACCGCCGCGGCTTTGGTGCCGCGGCAAGAACGCAATTGACACACGCTCACAGTAAATTCTTGCCGAACAAGCAGAGTGTCCTCGCAGAAGCTCGCCTTCCCTCTCAGTACGGCAAGCTGACTTGAGTGACAATTCCCCTCATGCCGATCCATCTTTGCGTCTCGTCTGAGGGTCAGTGGGACACACCGAACCGTCAGTCTGTGAGGCCATGCCGCTCTCTGCCGCTCTCCATTTCCATTGGTTAGCAAAGTTTTAGGCAGGGCCATAATCCCTGATATCCGAAGCCGGCTATGGAAAATCAAACCTCCCGTCCCGTACCAGGCGATCACTCCCGTCGTCCATTGACCGCTAATCCCCAATATCATCCGCTGGTTGGACTTGGACTTTGGGTTTCTTATTGTCCTTGAAATAATGCATTGAATGGTATAGGTAGGTCAATTGACTCTGGAATGTACCCTAGACCGTCCCGACAAATAGCCTGTGCTACCCACATGTCCGTACTCTACAGGGGTAATATACTTCTCCAGGACGCCTGCAAAAACTGAATTCGGGGATATGTCTTGTGGAGGGAGTGATCTACGGCGGACAATAATTTTTGTTTCCCTGTAGCAATATATGCGCTTGTCCCTCATTCGGATCTATTCATTAGAGGAACGCACCCCAGAGTCATCAGATTTGCACCGCTCCACCCCGCACCGAAGCGATGGCCCACAGACCCGCTGGCGAAGCATAAAAGAGCACGCAAACGCCTCCTCGGACTCCAACTTGCAACACCCCAGTAGCATTTCCACCAAACTCAACTCGCCCAAATGGATTCCTTCTTCACCACCACCCCCGTTGTCGTCGATACCCCCACCAACGAGGACAGCGGCAGCGGCAGCGGAAATTCCTACTGCGTCGTCGCCCAGACCGTATCTATCCCCACCAACGAGGACAGCGGCAGCGGCAGCGGAAACTCCTACTGCGTTGTTGCCTGAACGCATCCACCACTCAACGTAAGTCCGACTTTGTCTATATCCTCATTTACCTTGATACTCATCCCATCGTCTCACTCTCTAAGATTACCAGAAGATCACATTTCATCGCCGTCTCCCTGCAGTGAACATGCTGCCCTCGGCGTTTCAATGAAATGGATGTTATCATTATATCTGCTGGAGCGGCACCGTACTTACTTTCGACATTCTCATGGTGCTCGCTGTCATTAGTTTTTGTACAATTATTTTTCGCCTAAATGCAACCTAAACAGTATGAACGTGAACGAGCACGTTTCAAGTAGCCCCCGACGTGTGGGTAATTAATTGCTATCTTGCCAAGATCTACCCCGCTGCGGGGAAGAAATACCAAGGCATGACGCGTGCGCCCTGCGAAGGTAGAGTGGCGATTGCCAAAGACATACCAAAACAATTATAAAACAAGCGCCCGCCGAACTAATCCCCTCCTCCTTCCCCTCCTCCGTGTACGGAGCCGCCCGTGCGAAGGACCCGACATGTGCCCCATGGCCCAGTTGGCTAAGGCGTCCGACTGTTACATTGATCATCTGTTCAAAGCACATCGGGAGATCGAGAGTTCGAGCCTCTCTGGGGCAGCATATTTTGATTTTGATTGAGCACCGATTCCTCTAAATACTTGTGACATTTTTTGGGCTGGACGCCGCTGGAGCCTGGCTGTTGGCAAAACGTGGCATGGGCCAAAACGGCGCTCAGATTTTCTCCAAAAAGGGCCGTCCTGAGCCTCGAGCGCGCAGTATGGACCGGTACTACTGGCCCGGGTGGGGCCCGCCCAGTGGCATCCACCGTACAAAGCCCGTTATCTGATAAGTACTGTATAAATAGTTGTAGTTTACTCACCAACGTTCACCGTTCTACGTCCATGATTGGCAAGAGCTTTTTTTGAGCACGATATGATTTCATGCGAAAGTTCGAGAACTAAGCAATTAGGCTTTCATTGGAATGTTTACTTATCTTTCTGCATATGTTTTTCTTTGGCCTCCTCCTGTCTTGCACAGCGTCTTCACCAATGGGGGCGATTGATGACGTGGACGCGTATTATGTTCTCGGATATCCTCAGTCCAGTGTATGTAAACGAGTTTTGTAATCGCTATGTAGAATGATAACAAAAATTAGTATGCGGCGTGCCAATCTGCCAATTAAACTGATACAGAATAGAACCTCAGACGTGACGGCGCTCCATCTGGTTGACATTATGTTCGGGCACAGATATACGTGTCCATAAAGGTATTTAAAGGGAATGCAGTCGTATGGAATACATTGATATCTTCGCGGAATAGGTAATGGAAGTACAAAGCACAGATGGTGCGGATGCCGCAGAGATGGGATATTACAGAAGATGTGGATGATGGTTATGAAAGGATCGAAGGCAGGGAATCCTAAATGATAGGTGTGAGATACGAAGAGATATGAATGCGAAGAGGTGTCCACGGGATGTCCACGGGATGGGGTTGCCTACGGGCTCCCGCCCTCCAGCGCTCTGACGATCCCAAAGGCGGCTGCCGCAGCCACGCCGCCGACCATGAGCGTAGTGACTGCACCCCAGACGTAGTCCGCTGGCCGTTGCGCCGCGCCAGTGACGCGTGCTTTTACCGCTCCAAAAATAAGAAGAACGATGCCGGTGATCACAGAAGAATAGATGAGCGCGACATGTGCTTTGGGGATGAAGAAGTAGGGCACGAGGGGAATGATTCCGCCGAGGAGGTAGCCCATGCCGATCGTAAATGCCGAGACGTACATGCGCCTGTCAGGGATTTCCTCTGCAAATCGGCCAGTCAGCCGCGCATGCCAGCAGATGAAACAACGTAAACGTACCGAGGCCCTGTCCGAACTTCAGTAGGAAGGCTGTCAGGCCGACGTCCTTGCTCCAGCGCAGTCCCGGGGATTCTTCGTCACGGGCGAGGCGCCCAGTGGTACGATGGGCGTCGCCGCGAGTCTCCTCTTCGATCTCCCGCAGTGAATCGGCGACTGAGCGACATGTCTTGTCGTCCAAACCAACAGGCCCAAGGATCTCAGTCACCTCGCGCTCCATCTCGCCCGCACAGCTGTGGAGTACGCGTTGGTATGTGTGGTGCTGGAGGTAGCGGTAGTGGTCCCGCTCTGCTTGGGAAGCAAGGAACCCGCCAATACCCATCGATATAGCACCCGCGAAGAGCTCTGCTATTCCACCGAGCACGACGATCTTCGATTCGCCCAGCGATGAGAGGCCTGCGGCGAGTGCAAAGGGCACCGTGAGGCCGTCGGACAAGCCAATGACGCTACAAAGGACAGTTGGTACGTGGGGTCGCAGCCACCAGTATAGCTAATTTTCACTCACACATCACGAACAACGTCAGGATCGATGAGCGTTCGTTCTTCTGGAATAAGGTCTTTGCAACAGACGCCGTCTGCGCGTGCGTTTCTGGCGCACTTAGCGGCCGAAGGCGGCTCTATGCCCGGCGCCGCGCTATCGATGGGCCATACCGGCGGCTTTTTGGATTTTGCGGGGGTGTCCTGGCGGTTTGGTAGGAGTACCGCGGTGGGGGTGGAGGAGACGGAGGAGACGGAGTTGAGGGAAGAGGACATGGTAGCGCAAATATTCTGCCCAATAACATCCTCCCCCTTTATATAGCCCCGTGACGTCACGTAGATACTGGCCAATCACAGCGCTCTCATTTCACCGAGCGAATCGGCGTACACCGATTGCCAGTGCCTCAATTACATAATACTCGTTCCTAGGCCAAGGTGAGGCTACCTTTTTCCCCTCCTTTTTTTTTGGCATCCCAGCCATACCGGATAATCAGGTATTTTATGAGTGATATCTAGCAGTTTATATCTCAATTTCTATGTACAAACGGGTACTAAATTCGTAGCTACTTGATAGCAAAACGAGTACTAGATGTTGCACAGACAGTTCATTATCCAAGGTCAGAGAACATTCAACAGTTCAAGTCATTCCCCGAGTATTTCTCTGGCTTACTCAAGGCTGAGAAGCAAGTACAGTGCGAGTCATGACATCTCCATCACATGGTTTTTGGTGGGAAGAAAATTTTTGTGGATTTTTTGCGATTTTATTTGGAAGGAAACCCACCAAAAGAATGCGATTTCCGTCGTCTTCTCCTTTTTTCCCACGGTGTTTCACTTTTTGGGCTCTGTCAAAAAAAATAAGCGGCTCCGATTTGATATTTATCAAGGAGAAATTGTCAATGAATGATAGAAATGATCCTAATAAGCACTCTGATTGAAATTCGTGTGTTTTCTGCCTGATTGGGCAACTTCTCGTGGCTTGTGAAGGGTGTGACCGTAACTGTAACATGCCTTATATGGAAGGTGGTGACGTAGGGTTAGGGTCTGTTTCACTTTTCAAGGCCAAAATCAGATCAAATTTTTGAAAACTTGTCGGATCGGCTTGAAATTCACACCAACGGTAGCCCTCGCCTATCTGAGCTCATTTCTGGTGTTTTTAGTAAATTTCGGGTGCCGAGAAAAACGTAGTTACAAAAGGTATGTTTTTGTTTGTTTACTGATGGATCAGTGGATGCGAAGTGATGACTCGCACTGTATAGGCATACATGTTGCATAGATGAGAAAATTAGAAAATTACATGTAAAGATTATATAGTGACCAATTAACTATTGTACTTTCTATTACTATTGTACTTTCTATTACTATTATTCACTCTTTATACTCTACAGTGGCGAACCATATGGTGGAGCATAAACTATAAAAATAAAAGTACATCAAAAATTTCCAGGATACGGCGGACATCGAGTAATTTCGAAGGGGGGAGAAAAGGAACAAACGGAATGTACTAGATGAAAGTGAAATTTGATATAAGCAAATGGAAAGACGAGGTTTGAATCAACTTCGAATGGGAAAAGGGGGCCGTGCGTTACCGAACACGGGCGCCTAATTTGATGCGACGGCGAACGTGAGAAAGCGGAGGAGGATGCGGACAGGTACTACGGACAGCGTGAGACGGTTAGAATGCGGGCTCATCGACATAAACCTTTGTAATTACCATGAGATATTCACTTAACCAAAAGCGCTGAAACTAAGCAATTGCAATGAACGTGTGTCATAGATAACGGCAGAGTGATAAACTTGCTATCTAAGCTCATATTACTTAAATAAAATAGATACATCACACTGGCAGTACGGACCTTGCGCGACGGCAGAAGTTATTCAAACAGCTTGCCCAAAATAACCCCAAGTACGTACCAGTCCACTTGATCCTATTACCTGCCTCTTTTCTGGGGAGTATCAGAAGCATCACTTGGGGTAACAGAGTATGGCTATTAGTGGCGCATAGACTGCGCGTGAGTCGGCATCGGCCCTTCCGACCGCCACCGGTGAAACGATAACATGATGAAGAAAGTGGCGGAGACTCTTTCTGGGACAGACTGGACTGTATCTGGGTTTTCTGGGCATTCGTTCTTTTCTATATGGAGTCCTCCGTGGAGGCCGAGTAGGGATTGGGACATCATATATGATCGGTGTCTGCATAGTAGCTTCAAGGTGGACCGGGAGCAGAGTATAATGCCCATATGTGGATGGATAACAATGGTGAAGAATAGACGGCAAAGAATAACAGGTCTTTGTGGCGTTGACCTAGATAATGAAAGTCCGGTATTCGTCTCCGGGTGCTGTTGGTACATCAAGACCTCGAGGACTTATGTATAGCGCCTCTCCATCTATCAATATGCCAAGCATCACAAGTGCTGGAGCAAGAGGAAGGTGATCAGAGTGACGTCTACTCCGCGACCGTCCTCTAATAATACCTGCAAGCCAGGCTTAACAGCGTGAAATCTGCGTGGTATAGACGCAGAAACGGAGATGAATCACTGCATTCAACTTCCTACTGTATGCGGGCGCTTAAACGCGAACTGACAAAGAGCCGCGCACTTATGAATCACAGAGCGCGCGTCGTGTGCGTCTACGTATAATAAAGGCGCAACGCTCATGGAATACACATGTGCGGTGAAGTAGAATAGAATGCCCAGGAAGCGTGTAGCCGTTGGGCGTCAGTGATATGACGGCGAACGTGGGAAAGCGGCAAGGGGCGCGGGAATTGACCACAGCGCGTATGAGGACTTTAGTTGAGACTTGGTCGAAGCCCCCAAGAAGCCTCATCAATGTGCTAGCAAGAAATGGGCTCCAAATACTCCACGCGCGGCAGTCAATACAGCGTATCACAGTAAACGCGTTGGTTGCAAGCTGCCTGCCAGAGCCTCACCTTCCTCCGGGTGCAACTCAAGCGTCGCCGTGAGCGTGCCTATACGACTGCACGAATCACCACCGCGCGAGGACACAGGAACAACGCGTTTAATACTCCCCCTTTTCCCCCATCAGGATTTAATATTCAGGGGCCACACGAGTCCGACAGTTTTATATGTCCCCGCCGTGTACACACAAAACCTAACAAGCCACGCAGATAACACTCGGGTAGAATATACCTTTGTTCCGATTGCCTGTTGAATGGAGATGAGCGCGCGATGGGGACTCGATTAAATAGAAAAAGGTCCGCAGGGATTAGGTGTTACCAGCGCCGGCACCGCTCGCCCCCCACTGCCTTATAGCACCCACCTTTCTGGGGAGCA